TGCGCCCGCCCCGATCGGACGGTGGAAAGGCGTTAACGATCGTGCCGGATTAGGCAGTGACGGTAAATTTTCTTGCATGTACTGGAGAGGACGCCACGTAGGCTCCCCCCCACGACGGTCCGGGACATTTTCGATCACCGGTGCGTCGAATCGTCGGAACTTAGGGCCAAGCGACCGGGTACCAGCGGCCGAGGTCGGGCTTTAGGTAATTAGGGAGAGGGCATCGGGCCAAATAGGCAAGTTCGAGGGCCCGGTATTCCCGGACCGGGTAGCAGGAGGCAGGAAGGAGGCGCACGGGGCTTAGGAAGATCCGGCCCCCTCAGAGTAGGCCAAGGAAGGGGTGGTAACAATGGAGTCTCAGGCTAGTGTCCAGCATTTCAGTAATGAGTTGAGCCATATAGATCCAGACACTGTACAGAGCATTGCGTCCGGTGGGGTTAGGGTTGACATTGTGAGTTACCAGGAGCGCGTCGCTGTCAAGTGCTTCACATGCGCTCACCGCATTTGGGTTAAGAGCAAAAAGTCCCCCAGCCTCATAACGCTCGCGTGGCGCAAGAGCGACCGCGGTACGCTGATGGGCTACCTGGTCAGTGCCGGAGTTCCAAAGGCCAAGCAGTGCAAGCAGGTTGTGTGCTTGAGTTGCGTCCATAACTTGCTTGGCGTGGTGGCAGAGAGCGCAGATGGGTTGTCGGTGACGTTGAGCGGCAGGAAGGATGGTGGGCAAGACACGCCCATCTTGCGGCGGCAGAGGGAGGAAGGGCCTTGGAGCCAAAGCTTCGAGCTCACGGACGACGTGCTGAGCTTCCTCTGTCAACAGAATGCAACGACGGGGTTGGGACAGAGGCCAGTGGCCACGGCGGCGTCCCAAACTGGGGAGCGGGGCATGGCCAAGGGGGTGCGGCCCAGGGTGAAGGGCGCCTCAGAGGAGACGAGCAGTGAGGTGAGCTTGATGGCACTTTTTTTTCTTGATGATCATCAAGACAAAATGCCTGCTGCGATATCGTGTTGCCCAGCTCGTTCCAGATGCCATCGGTGTTATATAGCAAGGGCTAGCCGTCGGCAGCGGCATGGGAGAGAGTTTAAAGTCTTGTTAAAGTTGCTTCAAGACAATTCTCAACTGTGCGGCCACAAGGTTTCTCAATTGTTTGAATCCAGAACTACCGATTCAATGGGCTCCATACTTGTGACGTTGCCTCATAATGGCAGGGAGGTCCTTTTGAAAGACCTACTCCCGCCTTGTGTTCCAGAGGGCAACGATGGGCATCAAGGAGCAGGCGGTGCGCTACCTCGAAATGATGGCGGCTCCCAAGGGGTCGGTTCGCGTCTTCCTGCCGACAGGGTCGGCGTCCCCTCCGCTTGGGCTGTACATGTCGGCATGGGATCACAATGGAGAAGGCCGGGCGAAAAAAGTGGGAAAGCCGGACAAGACGCATGCTCTGCCGGATACAGTCTGGTGGGACACGCGCGGCGAACTCTGCTGTACGTGCGACCGGGGCCGGCTGACGGAGGACGCGCCGTGCGTGCACAAGCTGGCTTTGGCGGCCATCAGCGAAAGCTGGGCCTCAACAGCGGAGCTGCCCACCCACGAGTCGCTTGGCAAAGGGGCGAGGGTAGAGCGGGTTGGAGCAGACGGGACGGGGAGCTATTTTGCGGTAGCGGACAACGTTCAGGGGCCGCCGGGCCCTCGAAAGCGCATGGTATTCCGCAGCAGCAAGGGGGTGTGGTATTGCGAAGGAAAGCGCGACGGGTGCCCATCTCTTGTCGATTGCTCACATCTGAGTGCGGCAAAAGCGGCTTTGAGGAATGAGGGGGACCTTTCCATTGCCGACCAAGTGGTCATGAGCCTTTCGGAGCCGCTCTCTAGGGCTGCCCTGAGCTGGCTCAAGGCGTGGAACGGAGAGTTGCCAACAATCGGAGGGGGGGTGGTGCCCAGCGTGGGGGCACCCTCGCCTCCAACTCTAGCCGATGAAGAGCGGTACCTCATCGAGCTGCTAGAACAGCGGCCCCACGAGCGGGCAGCGTGTGCCGGCGACACGTGCTTCTGTCGTCAGCATGATCAACTGTTTGGTGAGGCCGCTGCACCCATCTCGGAGGGCGATCAGGGCTCAGAGAAGGAGCCGGTTGCCGGAGAGGCACCTCCGAGTCGCAAACGGGCAAGGCGGAACAAGGCTTTTTGGGAGGCGCACAAGCAAGGCCCGCAGCCGGCGACGAGACGAGGGTGGGACGCGCAGCCACCAACGGAAGCAAGGGGGAGGGAGGCAATCCGGGGTTGGGTTGATGCGTGCACGAGCTGCTCGTTGGCTGCTCTAGCGGTCGCGGGAGGCCGATGCAAGCACAGAGAGGCCTCAAGGGTTCGCGCCCCCGTCATGCTTTTGAGCACGGAGGCGGTCCAGGTCTCAAAGCCCAAGCTAGCTCGCCCAAGCGATGCGCATGCCGTTCACGACCCCCTAGTAACCTCGCTCAGAAGCCCCGTCCCCGTGAGCGAGCTTTGCAAGTGCCACTTTCGGGAGCTTTCAGAGAAAGGGCTACTTAGCGCGCCCTGCCCATTGGACCCTCCCGCATGCGGCGGCTCGTGGGTCGAGATGTGGGTCCAGGCAGAGGTGACGGCCTCCCAGTGGAGTCAGCAAGTGCGGGTGCGGATATTCCACTGCCAGTGCCTCGACGAAGCGCACACGATCCACTTTGACGGGGAGCACCTGGGGCTGTACGCGTGGAACCGGCGGACCCTGTTCGTGCAACAGAGCTTGCAGCTGCTTCTTCGAGGGATGCAGCACGGGCACAGCTTCAAGGCGGAGCTCGCAACCCATCAGACGGCCTTCCAGTGGTCGCCGGATGCTGCCGTCTTGAGCGAGGAGACATGGCGCCGTGCAAGCCTCGACTTCTTCAAGCTTGTCGGGCTGGGCCTTCGGGATTGCTGCTCTCTGTGCGGGCCCCATCCAAAGGTGGGCCACGTGGCTTGCGGTCACAAGGTTCTTCTGTCTGTTGTGTCTTTGATGTCTGTCCGTTCCGTGAGCGTTTGACACATGTCCGGTGATGTCGATGCCTTACGATAATTTGGTATACATTCTTCCACAATTAGTGTACATCTGCTGATATTGAGTGTACATCCAGTGACATTCCATGTACATCCAACAATATTCAATCGACATTCGATGAATTTTCAATCCCCTGATTGACTGGTCAATCTTGTACCATGCACTTTGATCCATTTTTGGCTCAACATACTCGTTGACTAATCATCTTAAATTGGACTCTTCTTCAAGGTGCTCATCTGCGACGGCATTGTCGGCCTTGCGAGCGCGAACGGCGCGCAAAAGCCAGGCGGGCTTGGGAGCTCCTCGCTCGACGCGCGACGCACGTTCTGCCACCCTAGCCGTACCTCCATGGGGGCGCTCCTTGAGAAGCGGCCCATCTCCGGTCGCGACTATTGCGGATCCGGTCTTCAGGGGGGCGGGTTGAAGCGCAAGCTTCTGCTCCAACCGGAGTTGCGCGAGGCGCTCGCGCGCCTGTCCCAACATCGGCCCAAGGACGAGAGGCTTGGGAGGAGGCTGTCAAAGGTGGAGTATGAAGCGCTCTTGAACGGGCTTGCTCACGAGGACCCCCAGATCGTGAAGCGTTTCGGGCCGGATGAGGCGGAGGGGCCGCTTCCAGAGGACGGCAGACGGCGCATGCTTGCCGAGCAGCGCACGATGGTGCGAGATCAAAA